GAGCTCCTTTTTCCAAAAGCGCCAAACCCGACAGTACGTTGCAAGCAGGAGCAGCCAAGAGGGAGGAACTCTCTTCTGCAGATGATGAAGTTGCAGCAGCGACTGGGCATTTTCCCGTTTGGGGGAGGAAGCAACCAGAATTCCTGTAGCAAAGCTCCAATAACCGATTCGTTTCCTCAAGTCACCTGAATTTTTTCCACGACTGGAATGTTTTGTTCCCAATCGGTTTTCTTCCGTCCATTTTCCAAACACTTGGGACCTACTTTGATACAAACCACTCCAATTCGGAGGCACCTCGAAAGTGCCCCGCCCCCCCACCAGTCTTTCCATCTCGCGCCGAATGCCTTGTCACTTTGAGAATGTGTGCTCTCCTGTGTGTTTGTTCACATACGTGTGCGAACAGATGCGTGCTCTCATGTTGCGTGCTCTAGAGTGCCGAAGTTCGTTTATTCACCAAATTGTAACACTGTTTGGAGGTTCTTGCCGGGATAATTTGCGAATCAAATGATTGTCAATTGGGTAATACATATTTTTTTGCAGGAAGGTTTTAATATATTAATATGTCATACAATCAATCAAAATTATGATAGTTCGGAATTCCCATGAACAACCCAGAGTGAAAGGATCCGGAACCATCTTTTCAAATCCTCTCACAGTCGCCGCTGGATTACTGCGTTTCCATGGGTTTTACGGGATGGTCCGTGATAGTCACTTGTCCAGAGTCCCAAACATCACTGGTCAGGACAACGAAGTCGTACGCTCCATCAGAACGAACGTTCAGTTCCCCATACGGCCCATACAGACTCGGCAACCAGCGTTCCGCTAGACAGACTCGGTGCGACTGGAAAGACTCGTGTGTATGGCACGCATCGGTTTTGTATGTTGGGATGACTATGGAGAACCCCCACCACGTGACACCCACGGGTCAAAGCATTTTCAGTACCTTGGGCGCTATGAGGGTACGACCTCGGTTTTCGAGATCCTAGTCAGAACTCCTTACAAACAGTTAGTTTGTTCTCGTTTCGACCGCCACAAGTCGACCGATTCAGGCAGCAAGCGGAGCTTTTGGCAGTACTCTCTGAGAGGTGATGATTGTGACGATGACTGGACGGCTGGACCGGATGACTCGGGGATGCGTGGGACGTGGGGCGTGGATGGTTCAGACATGGAATCCTTTAGGCTGCCTAGTCATGGGTTTTTCTTGATCTATCCATTGTTTGTTGAGGTACCTCCGAACACCCCTCATGCCCAACAAAGCCGCTTCGGAGTTGAGGACATCCATCTTCCTCCAGAAACTGCAGGTATTTCCCCAATTGCATGTTACAGTTCAATGATCCCAGGACATTTTGTTCAAGACCATGGTGTCCTGCTCTACTTTTACGTCCAGCTGCACCAAAGCGACGCATCCACCGCCGCCGCCAGGTCTCCACGGGGCCTCGCCGCGGTGCCGGCCCGGGAGCTCGGATCGGGCGTGAATGAAGCGTCTTGGGGGGACTGTAGTAGAGGTGTAGCATAGGATAGCATATATAGTTTGAGCATAGGCCATGCTTGGAGGTTGTTTGAATTTGGATGAGTTAGGTTTAGGACAGCATAGT